ATACCCTACTTGTGTTACGGATAATGTTAGCATTAGTTTATACTTTATAAGCAACGAAAAGACTTGGATATGCATTTGTGAATAAGTTCTACTTCACCAGCACATCAAAGCAACAAACTACTGAACTACACAACATTTTAACTATGAGTTATGATTACGTCGTGTATACATGGTACTAAAGCTTCATAAATCATAATCGTTACTTAAACATTCTAAGGAAATAATATTTTTAATAATATTAAATTTTATAACCTATTAACATTATCAAATTAAGAGATATTGGTTTTTATTTGTGTAGGTAAAATAACATGTTTAACAACTGTTCATAAAATATATAATAATTCTAGTCATTAAACATTGTTTAAAAATAGAACAACGAAATCAAATATTATAATAATGATCTACAAAAGTAGTGATCAAAGTATCAACACCCGTTGAAAAATGAATTAGGTACCTATATTATTATGGTTGTTTATTTTTGTAATTAATACAATCATCAATCGTACATATTTATTTGTGTAATACGGGCATACGGGTAAGAGACCCAATGAAGTATAAAATTACGCCCGAATGACTGAAAAGCCGGTTCGAGTGTTATGAAATTACAATTTTCTTTTAAACATATTTGGGGAATGGGGCCTCTGAGTAAAAATAGTAAAATATAGACGAGAGCCTACCAAGAAAATCCTGATATTTTGTTTAAAACTTTAATATGTTTAATAATGATACATTTTGATTATTTTAATTTCGACACGTGTAAAAAATAAATTAATCCTCCGCTTGTAATTAACTATGCACCCGACGTCTTAATACGGGTAGATGCATACTTAATTGGGAAACTTTAAGATTCCGATATGTTTATTTTGGTTATGTTTTTTTTGTATTCGACGACATACTTTCTATATTTAATTACTATCTAATTACCCATCTTTCTGAAATGCTAGTCTAAGGCCGTGCTGAAATGTATGATAGGTACTCATTATCACTCGATTCGAAATAAAACGAGTAAAAATTTGTACAAAAAATCGTTTTGTAAAAGTTTGCAATTTTTCATGTATTATTATTTATTACATTATTTTTTAAAATAATTTTTAACTAAGCGCAGGTGATACTTATTTAAATCGATTTAGTTTATTTATCCATGGTAATATACAATAATATTTAAACAATGCCTTAATTAGCGATACATATATTCATTTTTCAGAATTGCCCATTGAATAACCTCGGTGGAGTATTGGACCCAGAATAAAAAAACTCAAAACTAACAAGACAGAAAACTTAATCCAGAATCAAATATTTTTGTAGTGTGCAATCATTTTCTGATAAAAGTAATGATTGTTTGCAATTTTTTACAAAAACAATATAACCCAGTCAAAACAGCTTTAACTAAAAAGAAATCAATAATATTCTTTAAATTTGATATCGATAGTAGCAATAAACTAAACTTTGAGAAATCACCAAAATAGTAATAAATGCTGAAAAAACACATTAGATTTGCACTTATAATAATAAATAACTGCTTTTATCATCTACTTCAAAGCAATAATAGAAAATTGTAGTATTATTTCTTAATAAGTGGGTGTCGCTCTGCTGTACAGTAGATGACAAATGGGTCACTGTAATGGATGGTGTTAAATTTGAATTCAATGATATAATAATATATTAATATCATTGTATAAGAAAAACGATTCACAGTCAGTGAGTCTATGATATTTTACTATGTTTATTTAATGATATTATTGTGAATCAGTGGATATTTTAACTAATAAACTAAGCGATATTTCTGTCGCCCAGAGAAAACTTTTTGTTGCCTAGTAGATGATATATTATTTAATTACTGGGCAACAAAGATTTTTGTAAAAATGTCAATGTTTTTATTAAATAATTTTATTAATTGGTTATTTATTATGTTTAATTTTGTTATTTATTTATGACATATATCATTAAATTTGAAAAATAATTATTGAGAATGAAAAACCCATGTTCACCGTAGCCGGTAGGTATACATAGAAATATAGAATAATACAATGCAAGAAAGCGCGGCAAGCGACAATGTGACATGTTACATCTGGTCGTCAGTCGTCCCGGCAAATATCTAAAAATTGATTGTTTTTGATTTGATTTTAGTCCTTGTTCCTACAAGCTATTAGCTAAATAATTATTTCACTTTGAATCTTTAAACAGTTTAAAAATTGAAGCCTTCAAGGTACGTACTACGTCATACGATACTATACGACGATAGGACGACTTTCGTCACTTTCGGTACCTAAGTATAAAATAATTTATAATTTTATATTTTATAATTGGACTTATACTAAATACACTATACAGTACCTATTTTCAATAATAATAATATATTACAAAATACAATTTATAATCCTTAATGAAATATATATACTTGGCACTTGCATAATATGATATGCCATAGAACGTATTACCATTGGTTATAAATGCTAGTAAAAATAGTAGTATTTATAATCAATAGTATTGGTGTAATATTATTGATATTCTGTGGATTTATATGTAATCAATATAATAACTTTTATTATAAATTATTATTTATTAATTAATATAATGAATACTGAAAAGTTTTTTATAAGCTCATAATATGTGGATTTTGGTAGTCATCTTGAAATTTTTTTTTTAATGTCGCCCAGTGATAATTCCTTAAAAAAAACAACGGTTGTGAATAAAGTAATTTATATATAACCTATTTACGTAGAACCTTGTTTTAAATTTTCAATCATTTTCTATAAAAGTTGATCATTTTAAAGATTTTTAACTACAAAATCATTTTTAAATTTTACATTTGATAGAAGTTGTCAAGAATCAAACTTTAAATGATTACAACAAAAATTGTGCCTATGTTTTTTTAATGTTTTTCAACTGCTATTTAATAAATATATCAGGATACTTGTATTACATTTTCACTCTTTTTGGCCCAATAAATACAATTTTATTGATATTTATAGAAAAAAAAAGTAAAAAAATTGAAAACTGACTATGTTCTTAAATAGCTCAAAAAGAGTCAAAATATTTTCAAAATTGTATAAAATAAGAATATAAATATTAACATTCATTTAAGTTTTCAAGAATCTAAAGTTATTCGTTTTTGAATTACAAGAAAATAACAAAATCGCCACATGAGAAATCGAGTGAATTGCTAATCTTGTAAAAATATAAACTTCAAACGCTTGTAAAAACTTAATTTGATTTGCTTATAGACATTTATTAGATTCCGAGTTTAACGATGAATGCATTGATTTTACAATGATGTGTGTTTTTTTATTTATTTATCTATTTTTTACTTTTGTGTCTGTCATCACCTTTTAGGACAGTAAGAGTGCTTGGATTTTCTTTAACAGTATCTTTTCTGATAGGAAAATGAATCTAGTTGGTACTTTGGAGGGTCAAAACTCAAAAGTGAACAATTTCCAGTAGTTTACAAAAGCGTCGTGAAAAATAAAAATAAACATAGCCATTGTTAAATATTGATTTAAGCAAATATTTTAAATTAAAACTGTCCACAACTCAAACTCGATTACTATAGCCAATGCTAACTTACACAGTTACACGTCATATAGATAACGCCATAACGGTTATGTTAATGTGCAAACACTGCAAACTCCTCCAGTCGATTAACATGTGACATATGTTATCGGAAGATAGTATCTTATCGCGACCACAACGATGCTAATATAATAGTCTAGTTACTAGACTCTAGTATAATAAATATTGGTTTTAAGCCCCATCGTTGTTTTTCTCTGGATAACGATAAATGAAACTCAAATATTATTTTAAAATATTTTTTAGTAGACATTAATAATTGATGATTTGTATTATAGCTGTAATAATGTATAATTAAATATGTATTTTTTTTAAACTATTACAATGACTTTTGACAAACGGTTTAGTAAAAAGTAATGATATTATCTTATCTTTCTTTACATATATAAAAATCTCGTGTCACGTCTTTGTCCGGGATAAACTAGGAAACTACTTTACCGATCTTGATGAAATTTTTACAATGTATGTAATTTGGCCGAACTTAAAATATAGGATAATTTAAGGGGTATGAATAGTATTGAAAAAATCTATAAAAATGTACTTTTGTATTTCCAATAATATGGTTTATTAAGTGGTTTGAGAGTAAAAACACATATTATCAATATTGTAGAAGAGAAGTTAATCTGTGCCTGTATAGAAGTCAAATTTTAATATTTGTAATTACTAAACTCAATAATTTAAATTCAAAAAGTAAAATATCATAAGTTTTAGAGTTAAATATTGGACATTCAAAATAAAATATCGAAAATCGACTCCTATACAAGCCTAGATAAACTCCTTCTCTTCAATTTGTATAATAGGTGTTCATACTGTAATGTCACTCAGTAAGCTATATTATTGGAAATACGAAACTAAGTTTCAGTGTTTCACTAAAATTCACATTTGTAATTAAAGAGTGTAATTAAAGAGTGTAAAATGTTCCGTTAATGACATGTGCGTGCACGTGCGGGTGTGCTCCACTATTTATTTTATACACAGTCACTCACACTAATAATCATTTACTACGCACACATTTACACGACCCGCATGCACACCATTAGAAAATTGCCTATACCAAACTCCTTAGAAACGGTCTGTATGCATACCCCTTAAAAAGGGAGAGGACCAACCCTTGGAGGTGCTCAAACAAACCATTTATTATATACATCGTCGATTTGTTATTGTACATATTCATATTCAATCAGTATTATTATTAGTTTATAGTTTATAGTTTATACAATTTATACATATCATACATACCATACATTTTATACATAGGTATTATACATTTTATAAAGTTTATACAATTTATACATAGGTATCATAAACATCTTCGACAGAGCGTCGAGATAATAATTAAAAAAATTATTGTTAGATATAGATTTTACTTATACCGCGGTATATTCTATACAGCAGCGTCTGCAATGGCACAACAGTAATATTATTCCTCGGAGCTAGATGTGCAGCATAATAAGCACTTGAACAAATTTCTTAGTACGCTTCCAAAACAATCGGCTCTTATGACTTTGACCGTCGCCGTGTTCGTGGTCACCTACACCTGGTTCGTTATTGTCACATATGTGTCCTGCAGTTTCTACACATAGTTGACCGGAATCACTACATAATTCCATAGTTCGTTCAGCAGGGTTTTCAACTCCTTCATCTGCTGCAGGACTACTCGTGGCGGACGGCGGCACACGGTTGGCCGTTTTGGGCATCGTCGACATGATGTTTGGCGCGGAAAAATAGAGTTTTTTGAGTCGGCTATCGACGTAGAAACTAGCACGACACTTTGCCAAGTACAAATCCATGTCGTTTAACGAAACGGTCCCTAGGTCTGACCGCCGCGTTCGTGATCACCACCTGCAGGTCCTTTATCGCAGCGTCCGCGGTACTCTGCAGATCCACACTGAAAGTGTCCGGCGCAACCACATCGAGTTCTGCAGGTAGGGATTTCGACTTGGTCGGCGCTAGAATTTTCTTTTCGTCAGTTTCAGCCGGTGTTAAAAGCATTATATTCGGCTATTATTAGAAGCAGAGTACTGCCTGACCAATGGACTCGCCGCCGCACGCAGGGCCGGCGTTACACAATTTTGTCGGGGGGGTGTGAGATCAAGTATTGCCGACTCAAATTTAATTTATGCCGACTCAAAATTTCTAAAAAAAAAAATACGTGAAATATAAAAATTCCTGGTTTTTCTGTGTTAAGGTGAAGTAAAATAGTTAAAACAAAAACAAAATATAGAACTAAGACATTTTAAACCATTTTATGCATAGTTAAAATATTTGTTACTTGTATTTCATACAGATGTAAAGATACAAGGCTGTCGGAACTATTTTAAGATCTAAAAAATAAATCGTGTACGAATATAAATCAATCAGTGTTTGTCAATAACTCAAAAAATAAAGTAAATAATAAAATTTTTTTATAATTTAGCAGACGGCAGATGGCAGTACATCATATTATTTAACTAATAATATTACCAGATTACCTGAAGTATAAAATATAAATATTGTATTTCTCATTTGTTTATTATGTGTTATAAACAAATTTAATAATTAATATTTTGAATAAAAAACGTTTATTACACTGCCATGTTACATGTGTAATTACTTATTAACTAATTAACTTATTATAAATTGAAAATGTAAAAGCTAATAAAATAAAAAAAACATTCATAACAATTAAATAATCATATATATTATTATTTCATAAATAAAATATATATATACCTATTTAAAATACCTACTTCCAACAAAATTTATACAATTATACGGCGTTCTTTTAAAGTTGCCCAATTTTTTATCATTGCACTCATGTTTATACTGTCGAGTATATCCTTAGAAGTGTTGAGTATAAGTAAGTTTTTGAAACGCTTATCAGTCATGGTTGTTCTTAAATAATTTTTTATCAACTTAAAAACACTAAATACCCTTTCGTTAGATGCAGCAGAAACTGCTGATGTGAATGCAAGTCTACATAAATAATTAGCTGTTGGTATAACAGTTTTTAGTTTATTACTTATATCTATAATTTCATTCAGTGTCTTACAATCATCTGTTTTTTGTCTCAATATATTAACTTCACACAAACTTCCATCAAAATCGCTTACTTTTGACATATCAGAACTAGGAGGAAATAACGTAAAAGCATTTTTTATATCTTCAGTTGTAATTAATGGATTTATTGGAATCGATAAGATATTATACAACGGTTGTCGGTTGAACTGAAGTAAGACAGCACTTCAAGTTAGATGACATTAAAGTAATTAATGTATCCAACACTTCAATAAATTCTTTTCTGTAAAATGACTCTAATGAGAAATTAACTTGGGAAGATGAGTTAGAATCAATTCTTCTAGGCTTTATTCGTTTTCTATGGTGCTTTTCAAAATCACTAATCGGGTCAGTTTTCATTTTTATGGCAAACACTTTAGCACTAGATATATGTTTGTCTAATTGGTTAGTATCATTGCAGATTTCTGATAATGATTTTATTGCACATTCTATTAATACTATACGTTCGTGTTGAAGCCTGTAGTCATTGTTGAAAATGCTGCCACATTCCATGCATTCGAATTTAATTCGTTTTCGTTTAGAAGAATACATTTTTAAAAAAATTAAAAAAATTCAGCCCGTTTAGGTACAAAAATTACAATTAGGTTTACACATTACACTTATTTTGATGGTTTTAATCATGACAAATTAATTTGTCATGGTTTTAATCAAATCAATACATCGTCAAATAGTCGAACCGTCGAATAGATAACAACAATATTTAATAAAATAGTATGTAATTCTATAATTAGATTTTTATTTTCCTGCACGGCCTTCTAGTGATATAAACCACCAATCATTGTAATAATAGAAAAAGATTTTATACGGGTACTTGAGATAGGGATTGCCGAATGCGGATTAGCGATGGCATTGATATGCCGACGGACTTAACGTGTACAACGTACAAAAACAAATATATATTATAGTATTATAATACGGGCCTTACTCCTTAGCCGACAATATCAGTCGGCAGTATTTATATTTCTTAATTGGTAAATTCTCAACTGCTGACTGCCGGGACCCGTTCCTATATTAATATTTATTTTTTTTTTTTTTCAAAAAGTATAATTTCCAAAGGACAACGGCTTCCTGAAATTGCCGACTGATAATTACAAAAAATTCAACAGGGGGGGTGTGACGACCCACCATACCCCCATTGCCGCCGGCCCTGGCCGCACGTTCTTTGTTCGAACTCATGAGATTTGTAGAAGACATCTGAAATTCTGAACAGTAGGTACGAAAGTTATGTTAGATTATAACTGATTCGCGTTACACAGAAAATAACTCGGGATTTAAAGACAAATAAACTATTTATATATATTTCCTTCGATACGAGATTTTATACGCTTCCTATAGGTGGTCCGGTGGTCGTATGTCTGGAATACATTTCAATTCAAATTGAGCCAGTTAATTATATACGAGAATATACAGAGAGATTTACCAGCATGCTCACCCTCGTTTTTTTCCTTTAATAATAAATGTATTCAAGTTATAATTTTAAATATATTTAGATAGACCATCATGTTATTTCAAATTGTATAGATTTCTATACCTTATTTAAGAAGTGTCCTGTGGCTATACACATTTATTTTTTTCAAATGAGACCAATATTTTTTACTGTTAATTGTTAGGCATATGATTTTTTTTTATACCTATCACTTTGACTAATCATTAAACTTAACATTACAATAATTCATATTAATCACCTGCACATGTTATAGCTTAGTCGGCGTACAAGTCTTTCTTTAGAGTGAAATTATATTCTCCTGAATTTCAAAACTATACCATCACCTAATAAGACACACAGTTTTGAACAAAAATATAAAAACTTAGAGAGCAAGAAAAATATACGTGTACAACGGTTTGAGACTGTACACGGACTAAAAACAAGTGCCAGTTGTTTCAGCATAGTTTGGTGTGTATGTACAAGACATTAGTATAATAGCCTTGTGAATTGTCTCTTCTTCGATATTTAAGTGTAAATATTCTAAAGGTAATTTTATCATCGTTAAAATGGGCGTTTAATTGAATAAAGGATTTGGCCATAGAGTACTAAGTATGCAGGTGCAAGCAATATTAGTTTTCATTTATCGACAATATATATAATAATTTTTAAGTCTACTCTGTTTAGGAAATTACTAATATCGGTTATTAATGTATTTTTCTTCAATTATTGTTTATCGATAAAATTGAATGCGGATAATGTTTGCATGGCAGGAAATGTCTCCTATTGTTTTAGTCATTTATCTGATTGACGTGTAATTGAGAAAAGGTGCAACCTATTAGTAAGCTAAATGTCTTCAATCCTAACGGCGATATAGTTTTTCAATAATAATTGTACATCGGAATCGTCTTAAATTCTCACGCTTACGGACCGGTGAATAATACATGTTTTGATAACCCACGATAACAATTATATATGATAAAATATATATTGATAACATGAGTGATAAAAATAATTATGGAAAAATACAATTCCGCATACGTACGGGCCAGGCGGTTGCGGCTGCGGGGAGGGGGATACAATATACGTCACTCACGTACGCGGTTGCGGCGGTGGTGGTGGCCGAGGCTCAGCTGGCTCAGCAGGCTCAGGTATCAGAATCAGCTATATCATACTACTCATATACATTTATAATATATACAAGAAGATCTGATAAGTACTTCCAGAGTTTAGTCTGTATAGCTATAGTCTGTGTATTTATATAGTTATATATATATATAAATATATATTTATAAATTAATGTTTGTTGGTAGATTAGACCTCTGGGAAGAAGATAGGTTAATTTACAAAGGGTTAAATTTGTTTTTTTTTATTCATCGGATTTTAGAACGGTTAGGTCAGGATAGGATTTTATATAAATTGATTATATTAAACTAAAGAATTAAGTAAAAACGACAAACTTGGTATAACTTTGATACTTGATAGAGTTAAGTCATACACTTACGTACAAACAGTACGGGGTCCACGATCTATCGCAGGTAGATTGCCTACTTGATAATGTACTGCTGCGAATCAGAATTTTTATTCGTGGCAACGGAAAAGTTATGATACATTTTTAACACCATACGGCATACACCGAATATTAAATAACGAATATTGAACAAAGTTTGAGTCATATAGAGTTGGTACATTTAACGGGCAACGAAGTGCACGGGACCAGCTAGTATTATAATATATTATACTATATTATTTAAAAACCATTGCCAACTTAATTTTAAAACGACTTAAATGGCTTTGGTCGAAACGGGATAGGATTTTGGGCGAAACGAGTGCCGCCCCATAATTTTATACACTGACAATATTGGTCCCAGGCCAATTTTTCTCTCGAGATACAGAACGTTTTTTTTTGGAGCTTTACAATTCATTAATTTAAGTTAGTTATCACTAAGTATGGAATTCATAAAGCAACAGTTACAGAATTTGAAACAACGTATTTGAGACGACAACAACCAATTTTTCCAAGATACCTTACAATGTATAATTTTTAATAATTATATGAAACCTAAATAATAAGCGATGAAGAAAAAAACATTTTATCTATTTGTATTCGGTAGATTTAATATTAAATTTTCAGAAAATTAATTTTTAAATTACTTGTATAGGCCACATCATGTATATTGTACATTGAAGAATATTTTAACATTTTTTTTCCTTATTATTATTTGAATTATGTTAAGTGTAAGAACGTGTTATGTGTAAAAAAATATTGTGCATTTAAATTTTAAGAAGGGAACCTATTGTCAGTGTATAAAATTATGACGTGATGGGCCAATTTTATTGTCCGCATACTGCGTTTTTTTCGTGGTGACCAATATGTCCAGGGACCAATTTGTTCTGGATCCATCAATATTATATTATTATATAATACAACTATATATTTATATTGGGTAGGTACTAATTAATACCATTATTTTTTATTAGTATAAGTACAAAAAATACATTTTTCTTACTGAAAATTATGTAAAATAAAATATTTTTCCATATTAATTATTATATTAGTTTGCTGATTATAATATTTAAATTTTTGTACAGATTCGTTAATTTTTGGTCCTTTGTTGTTTTTATATAATTTTATTCAACGTCTGTACTACACAATGAGCCAATAGTTACTTGCAGTATATCATTAAGCAATATGATTACCATTTTTAATATGTAAAAAGGAAAAACTTTTATGATCAATTCGAAATATAAAATTGTATAACTGGCACAGCTTTAATAGTTGTAGGTGTTGTTTTGACAATATAAAACCAAATAGCATTGATGCATCAGTAAGATAATTATTAAAGTTATCAACGGTCATAAATTACGATTATGTGTAATATTTATTTTGAATACGCTAACACTTGTTTTACTGGAATTTATTGTAACTTGTACACATTACTTTTGGGTCATAACACAATTCGCTGTCGTTGTGTAGTGTGTACCCACTGCACACATACTCAGATGGCAGTGGCAAGCCCAAGAATTTTTCATGGTGGGGGTATGTTATAAGTAATAATAAATTTAAATGAATTGTGGTAGTAATACCTAAGACACGAATAAGGGGCTATATGGGACAAGGGGGATCTAACCTCTATAACCTCTCCCCTGAGCACTCTACTGCCAGATGGTACATAGAATTAGTTCAAAAATTAACACATAACAAAGTTATGTTACTAAAGAAGCACTTACAGGCTTTAAACAACACAACATAGTTTTAACTGCTTTAAGTCACGTTTACCACCATTTATATTATTATTATTATCAGGCCAAAAACATTTGAAACCATTTGTGAAATGGTATATTTGTTGTTATGTTGTTATTGAACTTAATGTGGAAGTATAATCCAACGATTTGGCAGGGTCACGCTAAGTATAAAAAAAGAACGCCAATGCATACATAGCAGTGGCGTATTTAGGTTTTTGTTTTTAGAGGAGGGAGGGTATAAATTTATCAAATAGTCACAAACTCAAGGGAGGCTTTGCTCCCCTCACAACCAATGTTACCTTAAATTACAATCATTTTTTAATATCATCAATACAAGATACATTACAATAATAATTGTATTCCATTATAATAATA